TTTCTGGTAGCTGCAAAGGAGTGCGGTTCTCTGACGCAGTGTGAGAGCAGTGATGGCGGTAATTACGGTAATGAAACAAACCTAAGTGGAGAAGATACTAACGACGAAGATTCACTGAATGTGTTAATTGGAAGAAGTGATTCCACACGAAGACCCTTAATGACCGTCTCAGATCCCTTTGCTGATGTGGCTGTATCGCCTCTTGAAACAACAACTCATTCGGATTATCCACTGAGTCTGCAGAATCATCAGGACGATCGTAGTAACGTCGATCATCAGAAGACGATATTAACAAGCAACAAGTCTGGACAGAATTTCTCATTGGCTCCTGATAAACCCGAATATGATACTACTTCATCGGAGGCGAATTTCCGTGTTCAAAGTCTATTCATACGTCGCTATATTGCGATGAAGAATGCTTCTGAGTGTAATTTTGATGAAGAAAGGGGTGGTAGGCGAGTGGAAAATATGAATGGAGCAATTGAAAAGGGTTCAATGATTGGGCCTGGTGAGAAATGGAGATCCAGTACAGGGAAAATGTATAGGCGATGTAATACGACCACAACATGTACAGATCGAACAGATGTATCTGGTCATAATGAAGCTTCATTGAAGCCAAAACGCCATCTCGTCGGATTCCTGCATAGAACATCACATCTATCGTTGACTAGTGAACTGAGCGCTAATGCATCGTTCTATCTGATAGGTTCATATTTTGTTGATAGCATGCGAATTCATTTATGCATATGATGTGTAAGTCTCTATTGGTAACACATGAATTGTATTTCTAAATTGTTGAGAAGTTTCTTGGTAAGTTCATTAGAAGTTGCTATTATTAAGACAAATTATTGGAGGAAAGTGGTTTTCTAAGAGGTAAGGTTTTGCTGTTGTGAAAAACCAGTTGAAAATGGTTAGCTTCATGGAGTGAATTTTCAGGACATCGCGCTGGAGGACGTCGGTTTGAAGATTCTACGATCGGCTCTGAGAGTGACGCTCGACTGTTCTCGGACGATGATGATCGATCAAGGTTCATATTTATTTTATTTGCAGAGTGTGTTCATCTAGGGTATCGTTTAGGTGTTTGTTGATTGTTTACTTGTCTAATTAGTGTTTACTGTTTTGTTGACAATTTAGAGTGTCGACGTCAACCGACATAACGAGCGTATCGCGTCAACACCATATGAACGCATATCGTAAACGTCGAAATCGCCGTAAATTCCGACAACCGTCACGTGCGTCGTCGTTTAGTAGTATCACGGAAAGTTCAATGTCGCTGGATGTCATCACAGTGACACTGAACATGGATACGGTTAATTTCCTTGGTATTAGTATTGTGGGACAGAGTTCATCGCGAGGTGACAATGGCATTTATGTGGCCAATATTATGAAAGGTTTGTCGAGATGTTGTTCCATTTCACGTCGAGATTGTTTCCCAGTTCTGTACAATCAAAACCATAACAATACTTCAATGGAATTCCGATGCGCAGAGTTCCTAAATCCTTGTGAAAAATAAAAATTCATTTTGAAACTATTTGTAAACTTCCTTTTGTAATAATGTAATGATAGTAAAAAGCAGATGTGGTCATGATTCCCATGATTTCGCGATCATTTTATTAAAGTTGTGATCATTTTTAGGTGGTGCTGTAGCACTGGATGGTCGTATTGAACCGGGTGATATGATTCTACAAGTGAATGATATATCATTCGAGAATTTTACAAACGATCAAGCTGTTGACGTGTTGCGTGAGTCTGTTGCCAGACGGGGACCGATCAAATTGACTGTGGCGAAGATGTGGGATGGTGGACCGAGAAGTGCGTTCACAGTGCCACGACATCGAGATGAGCCTGTGAGACCGATCGATACACAAGCTTGGATACAACATACGAACGCTATGCGAGGAATGCCATCGATTCTAGAAGGTGAGACGATTTGACTTGTCTGTTGGTTATGAATCTGATAGGTTTAATATATTCATTGGATCGACTGTTTGGTTGACGGTTGGTGTGTTTGTTTTTGAGAGCAAAAGATTTGAAGTAGAAATATTTCAACGGTAGACGGTCGTTTTGGAATGAATTTTATCATTTCAAACTAGTTGCTTTTGCCTGCTGATTAGCAGATTCATCAAGAATTTCATTAAGAGTCTTAATAATTTCATAGCAACGATCTTTCTTCACGGTTTCAGTTGAGCTCTTAAGGCGTGTTAAATGTGGAAATTGTTTTCGTTGAATCTTTTTTTTAAAATGTTGTCAATTTGATTTTCTTAACAGAAATTTAAGCAGAATTCATGGTTCTCCTTATTGACTCGTATTGATAATTAGTTTTGATAATAGTAAGGTTCCGTTGAAGGATCCGAAGGAGCGCCAACGCCTGTTCCTGGTCAATACGGTCGTCCGCCGAGTAGCGGTACGATGACATCGAATGGTTCGGCACCGAATACAATCGTTGCCGGAGGGATTGGTGGCAGCATCCGATTGGCAACAACAACTGACAAGAAGAGAATTGTTCAAATGATGGTCATGCCGAATTCAGGTCTTGACATCAAGAATAGAACCTGGCTGAAAATACCCATTCCGATGTCATTTTTGGGTATGTTTTGGAGATGACTCGAATGATTTGTTAAAGATTTGCTTACGTTTATTTGAACGTTTTTGTTGCTATTACTTTTCACAACTTTTCTTCATTAATTATTGTCATTATAAATATTAAGTGATTATTTAGCATTGTTATGAGTATTGTCATTATTTTACTGTTTTTATTGTTTTATCATTAATGTCAGTGGTTTTGTTCAGGTAGCGATCTTGTGGATTGGCTAATGGAACATGTAGATGGCTTACGAGATCGTAAGGACGGTCGTAAGTTTGCTGGCGAATTGCTAAAAGAGAAGCTGATAAGTCACGTTGTTAATAAGATAACATTCACCGAACAATGCTACTACATCCTGGGGGATGAATGTGCAGGTATTCCGTTGGTTGAATTGATCATTTTTCACTTATTCGCTTGCTCAAGATTTGCTTACTTCGGCACTTTTTTTTTCAATGAGTAAGATTCGGTCATTTACATTGCACAAACGTTCTCATTTATCTTTTCAAACCTTCTCATAATTTGACTCATAATTGCTGTATTTTTTGTGAAGAGAATCAGCGTAACCGAAATTGAAAACTCAAATTTTATCACTATTCACCTCACTTGATAGAAGTTTATTCATATATTCACATAATTTACCAGTCAAACAATAAGTTTGAGCCCAGCAAAAAACTGAACTGTCCTCAAAAAATGAAACCGAAGCAATGGTTACCATCTCGGTTGTTGGCTTCTTCGTGATGGTCTTCCATATTGCGCCTTTCAGAGTTCGCCCGTTTACGACAGATTCCACCGACGTCAACCAATGACGACGGAACTGGAGTGCGAAGTGAAGTTGGCTCGATTCTACCGCCGCCTCCACCCGGACTAATGGCCGCTGCAGCCGCAGCACAACAACAGCAAGGCTGTCCGAATCGAGTTGCTGGCGTTTGGCCGTCATCCCAACAACAACAGCAGCAACCAGGTGGTGTGGTTGGTGGTGTTATGCTGCAGAATGCACCGCCGTCGATGGTAAGCAATATTCAACATCATCCTCAAAATATTGACGTGAAAATGCGCTTTTACATGATGGATATTTGAAGAGTGAGCGGGTGGTGATGAAAGTCTATCAGAATTGATTTTTGATCGCCGCTCGACTCTCTGTTTTTCTTTGCTATTCATCGTTCGATTCGAAAGTCTGCCGAAAAAAAATCTGTCGTATCGTTCGATAGTTGAGCGCAGTCTGTTTGCTGGTGGTTTTGTCGAGAAGGCAGCGCTAGCGAGTCGAATTATTGAAATTTTTTTCATCGTGGAAAAGGAAAAAATTGCTTATTGCTAGAAACAGCAACTTTTTTCAGAAAAGGACATTTTAATTGTGAAGAAATGATGAAATGATTTGTATAATTAGGTAAAGTCGCTTCAGTTTTGTCTAATGTTCGGAAGTAAGGATTGATTAGTATTTTTAAGTTAGTATTAGAAATTTATTATGAAATTGATTCAGTAAAAATTTAATTTAGTATAAAATTGATTAGTATTAGAAAGAAAGAATGATTAATTAATTAATATTTTGTATTTTCTGTTGGTTAAGGTTATAATGAGATAGCGCGATCATTTGTAAATATATCGCAATGTAATTGAATGTGATGAATTTTTTTGAGTGAATGTGAGTGAATGATGATGGATGATGCACAATGCAACAATTTAACAACAATTTTCTATCAATTAATCCACATTTATTGCACAGTTCAATCAATTTTTCAAAAAATTATTTTCCTCGCTGTGTTTGCTGACCATCAAATTAGTTAAGTATAATCTCAAGAAGGTGAATATTATCTGCACTCCTCTAATTCCAGATATAGTCAAAAAGTGAAGCCTTTCACCATGGAGTTTCAGACGTCTTCCTTTCAGATGTAGAGAAAAAATTTTCGAAGTGAAAACATTGTTTTGAGATAGAGGGAGCATTTTTTTGTGTCTCGATTCCAAAGGAAAACCAGGATTTTGAAATTGAGTGTTCTGTTGATTATTGAAGTTTGGATTATTGTTTAGTTTATTGAAATTATTGGAAAAAATTTTCTTCTTTAGATTGTTAAAATTCCGTTCATCTGATTGTGAGTCAGACGATTAGCGAGGATAAAATGGTGATGAGAAGAATTTCATTGAACTGTCACCACAAAACACTTTTGTATGTTCTTGTCATGTCACGTTTTTATCATAATTGTTGTCAATTTCATTGCTGCTATTGTTGTTGTTTGGTTGTCGTTGTTTTGTTGTCATCATTATTGTAACTGTCATCATTACTGTCGTCCTTATCAATATAATTACTATTCACCCCCCGGAAACCTTTCATTCTTTCATTCATTTTTCATCACTTTCTTTTCTGTGTGTTGTTTCCTGTTTCCCGTAAATCAGTTTCCTATTTGAAATTCAAAGCGACTTTTGCCAACAGCGGATTCCAGTGATTGAGCATTGATTTGGATTACTGACTATAAACTTTGATGGCAGCTGGTCGATTTGATCAGAGTAGTCCTTGTGTTCTATAATATTAATAGAAAATAATCCACTTCCTATTAACATTATGGAATAAGAGGAAATCATGAAAATTCCGTGTTAGATCTCAAGATCTCACAGTAGTTTCGTTAGAGACATTGTCTTCACAGTGGCCACATACATGCTTGTGAAATTTAAAGTTCTGAAATTCTGAAATGAGGATCAGATTGCGCAAGAAACGAAAAGAGGCTAACTGATGTTGATATTTTGACGAGATGATAGAGAGGAATTGGCAAAGATTGCGATCTGATTGCATAAATGTTGCGTATCGCATCGTTTTCGATCGATCAATCCAATTTCATTGTTCATAATTTGCACTGTGAACGTTTTTTGAATGTAACGTCGTCATGTTATGTGCCATGCAATGAAGCAAACCAGCCAAATCTCGTTTCACACCCTTCACCATTAATAACAATCATTCGACTGATTGGATGAATATNCATTCGTTATTTTGCATGTCCCATCAAAACGCTGTCGGTATGGACAAATTCAGCTTCATGCTTTCTGCGTAATGCATGACGCATCTTTTCCGAATGATGGATGCTCTTTGAATCATTTAAATTTGATGAAAATATTTGATGGATTTGATGAAGTAACATTTTGTTGATTCCAAATTGATTAGTGCTCCTCCGTTCGAAAGAAAATCGTTCTTACGATTAGGATTGATTACGATCAGTTAATTTCAACCGTAATTTTGTTGAACACTTCATGTAATATGAGAAAGTCATTTAGAAAAGTACGTTAGAGATTAAGTAGGTGATTAAGTATCGTCGAGTTCCCGGTATAATTTGGTAAAATTTGGTGATGATGTCCCGAAATTTAGTGATATCAGCATGGTCTGTTGATTATTCAGTTGATGGGATAATGTCTGATAATGGATCACTGATAATA